CTGGCATAAAGTCTTTAAAAATTGTAATTTTTAAAATTTGTTTTATTATCCAAAGGAGGGGAAATATCAGCTGTGAAGTGCATTCTTACATAATCTCAGCTGAGTTTCCTCTTCAGGATCTGGCCTTCTAAAGAGCAACCAGGGTTGATCTCCTCTAGGACTGACCGGTTGGATGGCCTTGCAGTCCAAGCTGGAGACTTCTCCAGCACCAGAGTTCAAAGGCCTCCATTCTTTGGCTCTCAGCCTTCCTTATGGTCCAACTTTCACAGCCATCCATTGCAACTGGGAAAACCACAGCCTTGACGAGACGCACTTTTGTTGGCAGGGTAATGTCTCTGCCAATTATGATCACATAACCAAGGCAATGCTGAAACAGTTGTGAGTGTGAAAAATGGTCATGTCAGTTTTTCCACTGCTGCTGTAACTTTGAACGGTCCCTAAATCCAGAGTTGTAAATCAAGGACTAGCGGTAATCAGTCATTACTTAAAATCTCTTGGTTTAGGTGAGTGCTTAGCAGTCATTGGCATACGTTTTGCTGTTGCTTAAATTGCTTGTATACAATTTGAGTTGAGCTTTATTACAATTGTAGTCCATAGGACTGTAGGATGCGGTGGCTCAGTGGCTAAGACGCTGAGCTTGTCAATCAGAGAGGTTGGCAGTTTGGCGGTTCGAATCCCCAGCTCCGCGTAACGGAGTGGGCTCCCGTGACTTGTCCCAACTTCTGCCAACCTAGCAGTTCGAAAGCATGTAAAAATGCAAGTAGAAAAATAGGAACCACCTTTGGTGGGAAGGGAACACCGTTCTGTGCACCTTTCGGTGTTGAGTTATGCTGTCCACATGACCACGGAGACGTCTTCGGACATGGCTGACTCTTCGGCTTTGAAACGGAGATGAGCACCGCCCCTAGAGTTGGGAACGACTAGCACATATGTGCGAGGGGAACCTTTACCTTTTTAGATATTATCATGGAAATGGAGACATCTCAAAAAAAAAGGAGGCAACATCGTTTTAAACATCCTCCTTTCAGAATGGTGGCGTACAGATGTAATAAACCTTAATTGAAATTGACTCAGGATGTGGTGGGAAGAAACTAAGGTCAAATCACTTTTCTTTTTGTGACATGTTTTTCAAGCGTACCTTTTGCATCTAATTGAATATTCTAGGCTTGGCATCGTATTAGCTTGATGAACACCGTATGAGTCACCACCGTCTTGGTGCCCAATCTTCACCCTGCAGAGCGAGAAATGGGACTGCCTTCAGTGGTGCAGAGTTGATTCCTCGCATTCCAAATGTGAGCTCTGGGCCAATTCGAAGAGAAAAGGGTCCCTTTAAACGCCATTGACTCCAGAGTCCAAAAAATAAAAATAAAAATGATACAGCCGCAGGCTTTTGGCAAGGGGCGAAAAGGACATGAAACGAGGTTTCCGTATTGCAATTCTGTGTTGCAATTCTTGTACTTTGGTTCTCATGGGACCATCCCGTTGTATTAACTGTCTTGGTTAAAGAATACCTCCTAAACTCAATTACCTTAGCACCGAGATGGGATGGATGGACCCCTTCTTTGGAAAACTCAGAAAGGGGGATAGAAGAATGTGGAGGAGCCAAAAGAGAGAGAGGGGAGGGAGGGAGGGAGGGAGGGAGGGAGGGAGAGAGAGAGAGAGAGAGAGAGAGAGAGAGAGAGAGAGACTAAAGTGGCTCAGTGACTAAGACGCTGAGTTTGTTGATCAGAAAGGTCGGCAGTTTGGCAGTTCGAATCCCTAGCACCGCGTAAGGGAGTGAACTCCCATTATTTGTCCCAGCTTCTGCCAGCCTAGCAGTTCAAAAGCACATTAAAAATGCAAGTAGAAAAATAGGAACCACCTTTGGTGGGAAGGTAACAGCATTCCGTGCGCCTTCGGTGTTTAGCCTTGCTGGCCACATGACCACGGAGACGTCTTCAGACACCTCTGGCTTTGAAATGGAGATGAGCACCACCCCCTAGAGATGGGAACAGCTAGCACATATGTGCGAGGGGAACCTTTCCCTTTCCCTTTCCAGGTATTTCGGGTGATATTTCTGAGAGTTCCTCTCCTCTTTGATGGGGTCAAGTGAGAGGTGCATCCAAAGTGTGTTGTGATAGACTTCTCACAGCCCAGGAAAAAATATGGCTAGTTGCAGAACACTGCAGAACAAGAACCAATGGATATTTTTGTGGTATCGATGAGTTGATGGGTCACCATCACTGACTCATTTGTGTTGTGTTGTCCAGGAGGGTGATGTGATCAACTTTTGCAACTTTTTGGCAAGGCAAGTCAACGGGGGAGGGCAGATTCACTTCACAAGTGTGTTACTAACTTAACAACTGCAGTGATTCACTTAACAACAGTGATGAAAGGTTGCTAAAAGGGGCAAAACTCACGTAACAACTATCATGTTTCTCCAAAAATAAGACAGGGTTTTATTTTCTTTTGACCCCTGAAATAAGCGCTTGGCCTTATTTTCGGGGAGGTCTTATTATTTTTGAGGTGCAGGAGGCAGTGTGTGTGGTCACCTCATGGCTGCTGCTGTGTGGAAATATTTTCGGGGAGGTCTTATTATTTTTGAGGTGCAGGAGGTGGTGAGCATGGTCACCTCATGGCTGCTGCTGTGTGGCAATATTTTCGGGGAGGTCTTATTATTTTTGAGGTGTAGGAGGCGGTGAGTGTGGTCCCCTCATGGCTGCTGCTATGTGGCAATATTTTCGGGGAGGTCTTATTATTTTTGAGGTGTAGGAGGTGGTGAGTGTGGTCACCTCATGGCTGCTGCTGTGTGGAAATATTTTCGGGGAGGTCTTATTATTTTTGAGGTGTAGGAGGCGGTGAGTGTGGTCCCCTCATGGCTGCTGCTATGTGGCAATATTTTCGGGGAGGTCTTATTATTTTTGTGGTGTAGGAGGCGGTGAGTGTGGTCCCCTCATGGCTGTTGCTGTGTGGCAATATTTTTGGGGAGGTCTTATTATTTTTGAGGTGTAGGAGGCGGTGAGTGTAGTCCCCTCATGGCTGCTGCTTTGTGGCAATATTTTCAGGGGGGCTTATTTTCAGGGGAGGGCTTATTTTAGCGGATGCGCTCAAAAACTGATTGGGCATATTATCCAGGGAGGTCTTATTTTCAGGGAAACAGAATGTCTCACTTAGCTATGGAAATTTTGGACACAATCATGCCGTAAGTCAAGGACTACCTGGAGTGGCCCAATGGGGAAAGATCCTCAAGGAAAGATTTAGCCAGAAAGGCCCGTAATTATATCTATCGCTGCTAGACTGGAATGCAGAATTAGACAGTAATGGCCTTGCCTGCAAATTAACCTCTAGACTTCCTTGTTAGAGTTAATTGCTTTGTCAGCCGGAGAATAGTCTGGGAAGGGGCTTTAAGAAGCACCGTCGATTGCACTGAATTTTATTTTCATTTCGTTCTATTTTCCTTTCAGCCGTGGCAGACATCATTCAGCTGTCCATCATCATCCGGGGCTGAACCTGGTCAGCAGCTCTTACATAGGGAAGGTTGATTTTGCTGAGCTCACCTTTTTTTAAAAATTAAGTGTTGTAACTTTCGTTAATACTTAATCGCGTGAGTCAGCATTTTATTGGGACCCATCTTTTCTTTTTAGGAACCTGTCTATGTCATGATGATGATTAACCTTGTCTTGTTCACGTGGGGGAACGTCGGTGTCCAAACCATCAGCTTAATCATTTGTGAAACGAGTATCCATTAGTCTCTATGGCCTAGTACTGTGATGGCAAATATATGGCATGTATGACAAAGGTGGCACACGGAGCCATTTGTTAGGGCCTGCCAGGCTCCAGCTGACTTCGGCCTTCTTTAAGGCCATTTTTCACCTTCCGGTGGCTTCCCTGAAGCCTCCGGAGGGCAAAAAACAACCCAACATGCAAAAAACGGAAGGCCGGGAACTGACTTCCGGTTTGTGCATTGGGCTGTTTTTTGCACTCCGGAGGCTTCAGGGAAGCCTCCTGAAGCTTCTGGAGGGCCTGCGGGGGAGCGGGGGAGGGTGTTTTTGTCCTCCCCAGGCTCCTAGAAAGCCTCTGGAGCCTGGGGAGGGCAAAAAAACGGGTCCATCACATACTAAAAGCAGAGGGTCGAGCACGCATGCACATGGGGGGAAGGTGATGTGTATAGCAGTATGGCTGTGGGCACACCCACACATGACCCCCCTGTGCTCTCCCCGCTTTTGGCATGCGATAGGAAAAAGGTTAGTCATCACTGACCTAGTATGATTCCAGGGGTGGACTGCAGGGGGCTTGTAGGAGTTCGGGAGAACCTCTAGCTAAGATTCTGAGCAGTTTGGGGAACTCCCAAATCCCACTCCTGGCTGGCCCCACCCACCCCCCTCCCCTCCCCTCCCAGGAGTCGCCACACGGCCTGTTTTGGATACGGGTAAGTGCAGGGAGCCCGCAGACGCTCAGGGAGGGTGAAAACTGGGCCTACCGGAAATTTGGGGAGGCCCATTTCTGACCTCCAGAGGGGCTCCAGAGCCTGGGGAGACCATTTTTGCCCTCCCAGAGGCTGAAGGAAAGCATCCGGAGCCTGGGGAGGGCAGAAACACCCCCCTACCAGCCGTGGTGCGGGAGGCTGACTAGGCCAGGCCCACCATGGCCACACCCGCCCAGCAACCGGGCAGAGAAGCCCTTGCTAAAAATTTTGAAGCCCACCCTTGTACGATTCCCAATCGGAGCAGAACAGTTAGCCGTAGAATAGAAAAGATCAGTTCAGGTACCAAAAATGGAAGTTGGTGAATATAAACATCCTGGTGGTTTCAGAACATAAGAAAGCGAGTTCGGTTATTCATGCTTCCTGCTCAACTAACATTCAGGGTTAATAAATCAGAAGGAGTTTTCAGGAGCTGCAGCTTAGGTCTCGGAGCCAGGTTTGTTAGTGTAGTTAGTTTGTGTGTTTTAGTACCAGGTTCCTGGTTTTCGTGACCCGACAAATGTGCATACGACAAAAGCGCGCCGACAAAACCGCAGCGAGAAAACCGCGACGTCGAAATCGCGCCCACAACAGCATGCCAACAACAGCGCGATTAGGTTAAGGTAAGGGTTAGGGTTAGGTTCAGGGTTAAGTTTAGGGTTAGGGTTAGGGTTATTACCTTGTTTTCGCGTTGTTTGTTGATTGAGTGCTGTTGTTGGCGCGCTGTTGTCGGCGCGCTGTTGTCGGCGCGCTGTTGTCAGCGCACTGTTGTGGGCGCCATTTTGACATTGCGGTTTTCTCACCGCGGTTTTGTTGGCACACTTTTGTCATGCGAGCATTTGTCGGTGAACCCATGGTTTTTAGCTAACATGGACTAACAGATTTGTTCTCCTACAGTTTCATTGTTAACATAATTGCAACTAACTTTGAATGTTGGTGAAGGGGAATACCACAAGTGCAAAGGGAAGGTTAGCCCAGATGCCTACAGAGTCAACATGCTTACAGTGAGATAGTTTTCCATTCATGTACTAATTGTCTGGTTGGGCTGTATTCCTTCTTGGGGGGAAAAATGGACGATCACACCCATTGGGGGAAATAGATCTTGAGCTGGGAGAAATGTTGATATGTTTAGATTTATCTCCTGCCTTTGGTCTAGGACAGGGGTGTCAAACTCAAGGTCCCCGGGTCAGATCCGGCCCACGGGATGAGGGGCCATGCTCAAAAGAGTGAAGGACCGCCCCGCGGTTCCTCTGCCTTTGGGAAAACGGGAGCTCCGTTTTCGCTGGCAGAGGGTTGCAGGAGGTCTTTGCAGCTGGAAACGGAGTTCAAGAGCCCATTTTCGCTGGCAGAGTGCTCCGGGCCGCCACAGGCACCCCGACATGAGTGACGTTGAGCTGGCCACATTCACCCTGGTCACAGCTACCCTTGCCATTGCCCAGCAGAGCCCCCTGGGGTCAAACGCAACCCTGATGCGTCCCTCAATGAAATCGAGTTTGGCAGAACAGAATAAATCAGAAGGAATTTCCAGGAGCTGCAGCTTAGGTCTGGGAACAAGGTTTGTTAGCTTAGTTTGTTAGTACCAGACCCTTACTTTTTAGCTAACATGGACTAACAGGGTTATTCCCCTACAGTTTCATTGTTAACATACTTCCAACTAACTTTGAATGATGGTTAATGGTCTTCTAGGACCTCAAGGTAACTTACACAGAGACCTGCTGTGTTGTGTATCTCTACAAGAACCCGGGTCGCACAAGAATCTCTAGGTTAGCAATAGCAATAGCAGTTAGACTTATATACCGCTTCATAGGGCTTTCATCCCTCTCTAAGCGGTTTACAGAGTCAGCATATCGCCCCCACAGTCTGAGTCCTCATTTCACCCACCTCGGAAGGATGGAAGGCTGAGTCAACCCTGAGCCGGTGAGATTTGAACAGCCAAACTGCAGCTAACAGTCAGCTGAAGTGGCCTGCAGTACTGCACCCTAACCACTGCGCCACCTCGGCTCTCTGAAGCATGTGATCAGAAAAGGTGATCACATGCTTCAG